TCTTCTACATTGTATGCGTCAGTTAGACCAAAGAAAGTAATTATCTTGTTGGTTCTGTCTGTGAAGAGTTCATTGATAATGTTGATGATTTTTTGAGGAGATTTTATACGTTGCAGTGCTATGGTGAGTCTCTCTGTGTTCACTGTGTCGTATGCTTTGCTCATGTCTTGAAAAAGCATATAACATTGCTTTTTCTTTTCTCTGGCATCCTTCAGGACTTGGTTTATAATTGTGATGGGTTCACGGGATTTTGAATATTAAATTTGTTTAAAAACTTATTTAATATATTATTTATCCTCTTAAATTATAAGTATCAAAAAAATATATAATAATCTATAATCATATGCATATTTATATAAATATAAACAAAAAAAAAATCTTCTCTGCAGATTCTTTTTTTCTTAAAAATTTCCTTTTTAGGCAATTTTGTGAACTAAGAAGAAAAGTAAACGAAGAGGTGAGTTTTCCAAGAGAATAATAAAAGCAATACTCTCAGGGCAGACCAAACTACAATGTGAATGTCATAGCTAAAGATAGTACAAGGTTGTCACACAAAGAAACACAAATGAAGAAAGATAAACTTCTGAAGAAAGATAAAGGAAAAGGAAAGAAAACCCAGCCAGAAAACTCTAGAAATAAACTGTAGCAATACCCAGACACTAACAAAATTCCCAACTAATGATGGGTTCCTAAAGTATTTAGCATATAAAATTTCACAGATCACTTATGTCCCTTTTTGAGAAACAAAATTCATAGCTCTTCACTTCAATAGAAACAAAAATCAGGAAATGCTATAAATCAATAATTTGGATAATAGAGAACAATTATGGATAGTTTTTTTATAGTTATTAATTTAAAATTTTTGATATTTTCTAGTGAGAGACATTTGACTTTTGTCCTTACCTCCTCCTTTAGAGATCTATCTTTACTTTCAATCCTCATTAAACAATTAAAACAAGACAACAAAATAACAAAAAACAATCCTCATGGAGTGAACAAGTCAAAAAAACAATCTGGTCAAATTTAATAGATAACAATAATCCAAACACAGGAACTACAACTATCAGACCCAACATTAATCAAGAAATCCAGAAGTTTATATCTGATAATAAAGACTCTAATATAGAAATGGAAGAACCAAGCAGTAGCAGAAAGGACAATTAACAAAGTAAAGAAATATGGCAAGAGATCATATTCAAGATCCGAGGAATAACAAGCAAACTTAGCAAGCCAAGATCAAAAATTCCTATCGATAGCACCACTAGATTTGACAGAAAAAGAGTCAAAACAGGATTCAAGGCCTTCTTTATTCCAGGAAGAACCATCAGCCAAAAAATTGCACATATAATTAAAAGCCTTAACTCTCTTAACAGCCTTCTCTCCAACCACAGCGAAGGAAAAGATGAAGACAAACACATCATTGCTATTTTTAGTAATTATTCCACTGTAGAAGAAACATATAACACTATCTTACTTAATACGGAAGATATGTATCTAGAACACATGGCTTTTACATTCTCTAAACCAGATAAAGAAATAAGTATCAAAGTATGGACATCCCTTTAAACACTAAATTCATAGACATACAACAAATATTTGTCAAATATGAGGAGATTATCAACATCACAACAAATGTGGCAATCAGCAGTCATTATATATGCAGATCAACAATCAAAAGAAGATCTAATCAACAAGTAGAATATCCTGTTGTGATCAGATTCAATTAGGATTTTTAATACATAATGGGACATGGACTAAATGAAAGTATGTAACAATATTACAGTAAAACTGACCAATCTTCCTCCCAATACTATAGCCTTTGATCTCAAATATATATATGAACAAATAAAAGCAAAAACATGTTATATTCTGAGATATATGTCATATAAATGCAAGTGTTTCACTATAATAGAATTCAGCAATTAGAATAATCTAAAGAACACAATAGTATAAAACTTTACCTTGGGTGAAATCCAAACTGAATGGAAACCAATCGACACAAAACTCTATACAATATACAGTAGTTCAATACATCTAGTTATTCAATACCTCATTAAAAAAAGAAGGAAATAGTGAAATCACTATTGTCGTGGGCTATCCTGATGAGTCCGTCACTAATCTGTAGTGCCTCGCATAATCCAGACTTCTCAAGAATACTCACAAACGATACAAAGTAGAGAACGCCTTCTATAAAGAACACTTAAGGAAGGCAGAGGCATGGTGATTGACTTGGCCGAAGGTAAGTGTCTCTTTATTGCGTTCTGTTTCTTTGGTATATTACTAACTCTTATTTCTATTCTCAAAGAGGGCTGTTTTTCTAACACATTCAGCTCTATTCTCAAAGAGGGCTGTTTTTTTAACACATTTAGCTCTATTCTCAAGGAGGACTGTTTTTCTAACATATTCAGCTCTATTCTCAAGGAGGGCTGTTTTTCTAACACATTCAGCTCTGCTTTTTCGGCATACATTGGTAAGCTATTTATACTTTTTTAACTAACAATAGGCTATCTACTTTATAATCGACTATACTAACCCTAAGCTTTACTAAACTTTCTATACTTTTTCAGATACACATAGTTCCCTTATCAATACCCGAGCCTTATCTATAGTTTCATACCTTGCAACACTCAATCTTTCATGTCAGACTTTCGGGTTTTTGGATTTTAGGCCATTACGCATAAATCGTGTCACCCACGTGACTCATAACAGTATTATATATGACTCCTCCAATCCTTAGTTGAGTTAAAATTAAAAAAATAGTTATACATTAGATGATTATATAGCTACCCTATCCTGGTTGGGTGAGATGTAAATAGATATTTCTTATACTATTTATTAATCTGTAAATTCTTAGATAGTATAAATAATTACTTATTCCAGTTGTCATTAGGACTTATTTTGACTTTAATAAAGTTTTAAAACTAATGCAGAAATAAGCTAACACTTCAAAAAATATATATATATATATATATTAACAGGAGTTATAGAGACCTAGTTTTATTGAAATTGTAGCAGTGAATTGATTAGGTACAATAAAATTATAGACTATAATAAAGATTATATTACTTAGGAACTATAATTTGATCTTGATGATGGTAATTTTTACAATAAATCCATTTGTCATAGTCTTTCATATAACTTATATATCATATTGCCAGAAGAAGCTCTACTACATACCTTATCTATATTCAGACCTATGTATACTTACCCATTGATTGATTCAGATCTGAGACCCCTTTCATATCTCATCCTATTGAATACTTTTTTTACACTACCTATTACAGTATGTCTATAGAATATTTATGTGAAGTCTTAGATATCGTTTTATCCTATTTGAGTACTCTTTTTACATGACCTATTATAGCCTGCCTATGGGGTGACTGCGTGAAGTCTTGGATAGATTATCCAATTTGGTAAAGACCCTCTTCTTTTGTTAATATGCTTAGATATCATTAGTCCCTGAATTTTTATGACAAGCAGATTTGCAGCCTATCTGCAAGAGCTTGTTGGAACTTGTCTTATAATGAGGTGGCTTCAGTACTAAAACTGGCTGAAGTATCTTGTAATCTTTGATTTATCCCATAATTGGATAGAATCTTGACCACAGGTGACAGCAATTATCATTATGAGATGGATGAGATTTTTCAGTGCTATCTAGGCTTAGGTGATACTGCCTCATAGTGATATTGAACTCAGAAATAGTACTTGGTAACCTGGGAGTGCTATCATTGTGCTATTGATCCACAGGTCCAAAATACATATATATATATAAAGAAAAAAAAATATGTTTCTCAAATAATCAATAAGAATCTTTTAAATATATATATGGTAGAATTAAATTTTAAAAACTTCAAAAGATAATGTTATAATATAATTATTGTTTTTAATAGTAATTGATAAGATCAATTAATATTAGAATTATGATATAATTATTAATTAAATATAATAAGATCAACAATTCCATCACATGTATAAGAATAATATTTTGATTAAAATATTTTTTTAAGAAAAAATTAATGAATATGAACAAAAACTTTTTAGTGAAGTTTTTTTTAAAAAAATATCATAATTTAACAATTTAACAATTTTAAAATAATTAATAGTGACAAAACTGTTGGTTCTTTGAATCAGTGGTTGAAGCGCAAAAATCAGAGAAGAATGAAATATTATTTTTCAAATCTACCTAGTTAAAATTTTATTTTGTTTAATCTGAATTAGCTTAATAAATTTTTTTCGTATTTTTCAATTAGTTTAATTTTTCAACTGATAATGTATAAAGATGAGTTAAATGTGAGTGTTGAAATTGTATTTTTACTTCAATAAAGACTAGTCATGATGATATTATTGCGAACTAAAAAAAAAACAAACCAAAACAAAAAATCAAAATCAAGATTTTTTGTATGCAACATTTATAAATAGACTAATTAATTCTATAACTGGCACCGATTAAACAATTACATCTTATAAAATTTGCTTTAAAATATAAGAATTAAAAAATTGAAATCCTTAATGAATCGACTTAGAAAATGCAAATTTATTTGCAGTATATCACATAACATTACCCGAAGTGAGAGCTGAGTCAAGATTTTAACCGATATACGGTATATAGCATCCAATCTGTCATTTTTGAAAAATCTTTATTGTAATGTCAAGTAATTAGGGATGTATGGATTACTACTATGAAAACATTCAAATTACTAAGAATTTTCTATAAAAAACGAGTTCCCTAAGAATAAGTAGGTTGAAATGAAAATGTTTCGAAAGAGCTATTCCCATTTAGAGGAAAAAATGTAAAACTATCGGAAAATAGTTCGGAATTAAAGGGATGACCAAAAAGGTCAGATGTTGATGTTGAGTTCAAAGGAAAAAAATTGTTGGTGCAATAATTAGTAAAATCGAATCTCTCTGAATCTCCAAAATTAACGTGATCTAAATCATTGGTAAGATGAAACGAGTCAAGGCTAGATGGAGTAAATAAAGTCTGAGGAGTTCTCGGGCGAATATGTGGAGATGAAAATGCTTGAACATTTTGTTTGTTGGAAATTTTTAAATTATTATTGTTTGGAAATACTTTGCCTCTAATATCACCCGTCATTATTTCCTGACAAGGGACATTCGATCCAACGGATTCATAATCATTAACTATCTGCGAAGATGTGGTTCCTTTAGTAAAATTGAGAAAATCTTGAACATTTCGAGCCGATGTAATTCGCGAAGTCATCGGTGAATCTAGTGAATAGGGCTTCGTTCTAGATTCCATGTTTCTCCGTAGTTGTCTTATTTTATGGGTGGTTTTTTGTTGCCTAGAAATTGTTTCTTCACTATACGTCATTGTCATTTCATTAGTTTCGTGTGTTTCGTTTTCGGAACGATCGATGTCAAAAGCATTACAAATAAAAAGGATTGCATCTTTGTGAGTGAGGCTTCCGTTTTCAATTGATTGAAACTTATCCGCCCAATCAATAGGATGTTCCAAAAAATCATTTGTTAGTTTTCCATAGTCTTCCATGTTCTTCCCCGCACGATTGCGTCGATTATTGAACCACACCTCGATTTGTTTCGTGGAAAGACCAGTTGATTTTGCCAGATGCTCTTTTTGATTCTTATTTGGGCGACTGTTTTCGATATAATAAGACTCGAGAATTGTGGTGATATCAACATTGAAACGTGTAGATTCAACGACTCTTTTTAGTGGATGTGTTATTTGAGCAAAGCTTATTTTCAGGGTATTCTGCATTGTTAAAATTGCTTCGGACAATAGGTGCGCAAAATTATTCTCAACCTGAAGAATCACTTTCTTAATGTGATCCCTGTCTCCGTACGGTAAAATGAAGTAATTCCGCAATACTATCTTTTTATGTTCGAAACATATTTGTTCAGTATATTTGCAGATAGAATTCACGGCTTTCATGTAACGAGAATTTAAGTGTGCTCTTAATTCATCTCCACAAAGATCAAAACAACTAGCGTCGAAATGTGAACCGTCAAAAGGTAGAGCCGAAAGCTGTTCACTAAAGGCATCAAAAAAATGTGCTTCGTCTGAAATCGAAAATCTGTAACCTATAAGACTTTGCTGATTCAAGAATATATTAAATAATTCCTTTGAAGACCGTGGACTGCGGAAAGCAAATTCTAAATTCGACATAATGATTTTTACTTTAGTCAAAAAAAGCGTGTCGTTCACCATTAATGATTAGAAAAGTTGTAAAATGTATACCTCCGATATATATACAAATTATAAATTGTAGCATGTACGTATTAGGTGCACAAAATTTTATAATACGCGCTAATTATTAAAGCACGGCGATAATACTTCATCAGACCTTGTTAATACCATTGTTGGTATGAAAAACATAAAAGTCGAATATAAATTAATTGTTACTCCAAATATCCGGGACTGCAAGGATAGATGAAGCTTAAAACTTTCATTATTTTTCGTTTTCCCATCCCTTATACAGTAAGTCGTATTATGCTTTAATCCTATGCGATCTAATAAAAGCAAGTCTATTAAAGGTAAATGCTTTTTTACTAGCTCACAAAAATCCATCACCTGCCGAAAATTTTTGTGATTATTAGGATATAGTCATAAACGTGATGCATTTTTTTTCTTACTTTAAATTTCAATACTACGTATTAATTTTTTATTATATATTCGTATATCATGAAAGAAAACGTATAATTCCATCAATTTCTGCCTTAAAAAATTATATATTTAAATAAAGACATCGAATTTTTAATTTTATCAAAATTTATTCATTTGTTATATTATAGCAAATAGGTATTAATAAAAAACTTTATTGGTTTTTTTTTTATTACAGTAGGTCTTATTTAATGTGAAATATTACTAACCTATTATTATTTATCTAATAATTTTTAAATATTCAAAAAATAGATATTATATTAGGAAAAATTTATAGAAAATAGTTCTATTGCTAATTTAAATCATTTAATTTAATTATTATTATTATTATTTAATCAACAATTATATTAATATGATATCTTTTTATTGAAACATTAAATAAATATCTACAATTACTAGTCAAAATTATGTTATTCAGCAGCTAAATTATTGTCAAATTTTTTTTGATTGCTGTCAACAATATATTACTATTTTAACAATAAAGTGGCAATCAAAAATTCAGCAATCAAAAATTCACCAATTAAAAGTTTAACAATAAACTATTAAAAATTTCATTATCAATTTATCAAATAATTTTTTAATCATTCAACAAAAATTCATTAAAAATTCATCACATAATTATTTATTAACAATTCAATAAAAATTCAATATTAATTTATTGATAATTCATCAAAAACTCATCAAAAATTCATTAATAGTTTATTAATATTATTCAAAATTATAGTATGTCATTCGGCAGCTAAATTATTGTCAAATTTGATTAAATTTAATAATAAAAATATTGCTAAATTCTTTTCGATTGCTGCCGCTCGATATATTACATTTCAGCAATAAAGTGAAAATAAAAAATTCGACAATCAAAAATTCGGCAATCAAAAATTCAACAATCAAAAACTTGGCAATCAAAAATTTGGCAATCAAAAATTTGACAATAAAAAAATTTGGCAATCAAAAATTTATTAATAAAAAGTTTAACAAAAAATTTGTCAAAAATTCAATAACTATTCAACAAAAATTCATTAAAAGTTCATCACAAAATTAT